TATCAATGAATGCATATGATTAGGCCTAATTTTTGACTGAGACGTGCTAGAGATTGTGTGTGGACGTTGACAAAATCTTGACACCACCTAGATCAAATTGAGACGCTGTCTGGAGGAGAATTGTACGAGTAGCGGCTAGCAGCTCTGATCAGTAGACATCCCTGCTTTCTTCGGTCAACGCCCGGCGAAAGCCGGAGCAGTACCCTAACAAAAGGGCCATGGACCGCGCGCGTTTTATCCTTCTCCGCTCCTCCCACGCACAGGCGCGTGCACACACACACACACACACATTATATACATGCATGTCGGGAGACTAGACGGGAGTTTAGAGCTTGTCTCGGCTGGGATTTGTGTCCCGCTGGTGGAAGGTGCCTACAATATCTGACCAGAAAGTGTTAGAATTTGAATGGGGACGGTGGCGGATTCTCGACTTATCTAAATCAAATTCAATCTGGTGTTTGGAGTGTTTGGAGAATTCTAACTGCCGGCTGCTCTAATCGGTAGATTTACCTGATTTCTCCGATCAGTGCCAGGCGAATGCTGGAGCAGTACGTTTACAAACGGGCCATGGTCCGCGTGCTATCTTTTCTTCCAATTTGGTGCTTGGATGGAATCACATGTGATAGTTACTCATGATATCTCCTACGCCTGTGACTTGGTTTCAATAGCAAATGGCCGTGAAAGGTGGGGATCTGTTGCTCGTTCCTATGGATACGAAGAAGAACGCGATGAAGAGAAGAATATACAGATGTTACATTTCAAATCGGTTTTGAATATATCTTGAAGAGTGTGTATTGTATCAATAAAAGTGACAAATGAAAGATGTTGGAAACATTTGAACGTAACCTTTTTTTTGCATTTCGTGATGGCCAACTTTGTTTCTCGGTTATCTGGAACTCACAAAAAACAAAATAAGCATAAAATCGTTACAGATGAGATTTTTTCAACATTTACGTATGAAATCGAAAAAATAAAAAAATATTCGAGATATTCCCAAAACCAGTTTTAAATGGAACACTTGGTGTAGCGCGCGGTCCGCGGTTTGAATGTTTTATCAACAAGATATTACAACATATACTAACAATAAGGAGGTATAACAAGCTATCTGTTATAGCAAATAAATATATGTAACTGTATGATAGTAAGAAAATTCTAGATAATTAACTCTAAAAGAGCTGTGCAAGGAAATATATTCGAGTTCTTTTCATTATGATTCTTTTGTGACTTTTACAATAAATCATACATCACACGAATCCGTTGCAATGGATATTCTTACTCCTTAGGTTGTGTAAGGGTATTTAACACGTACATTTAGCAAGATGATGATTTCTAGCAATGACATTTGTTGATTTTTGAGTCACTAACTTATCCTATTATTTTCAGGAAACGGTCCAGGAAAACCTCTTTTTTACAGATTTGCTCCAATCCGCGAGAATAATCTTCTTTAATTTACGTAGTATTAATTTATAGGCTTACCTCGTCTTTTAGAACCAATGTTATATGACTCATCAGTCAGATATTCAGATCGAAAAGTTCAAAAATATCATTTTCTATACAATATATAAATATTTTTTATTTTTAAACTCAAGAACTTTGACTTTGTTTTATAAATTTTAATATTTGATAACTCTAACATGGAAGATTTCTATAACAATTTACATACAAATTGTCATTACGATTACGAAAGCTGTTAAAAATGAAAATGGCTTTCATAAAAGACCCATTGTAATCGGCTTTCAATCATTCTGAGAAATAACCTCAAAACAAGATTCTAAATTGTCCTTGTCTTTGATTGAAGTTCTGATAGAAGGTAGCTATTAACCTATAACCAAGTTCCTTCAGAATATTAAATGAATGGACCACTCGTCGTTTTTCAGTTGTTGATTAGCTTCTGTCTAACTTATGAACATAATAAAGGTTTCTGTAGTCAGTGGAATTCAACTGATGTGGGTTGCATAACGGTCACTTGCTCGTTAATTTAATTACCCATTCCGAGAACTAATTGTAGACAGCTACCTACGGCGCTAAGCTTTCACTAAATTCTAAGACAATAATGTATGTCATGCTGCGAAAACGAGCGATTTATTTATTGAATCTGTCATTGATATGCAGATTCACTTATCAGTACACGCCATATAGTCTCATATACACCACCGAAATTAATTTCCCGTTGTTCATTAGCAATTCTGATCGAAAACATATCTGTCACGCCTGATATTCATAGTATTAATTTGAGGCATAATTAAGAATCGTAAATACGTTTTCGTGCTATTGCAAGAGTGATTCTGTCTAAAATAACTTAAAATATTTGCAATCATGTCATGTTTTTCAGAATTTCGTTATTTTTGAGGACTCAAAGAGCATTTTTAATGGAAATATCAGAATAAGCAGAGATTAGACTTAAGTGATTTTTTTTTTTCATTTCGATACATTTACTATATTACAGATGATCATGAAATATTAAGTACGACTAGAGTACAACTTACTGGTTTCAAAGCAATTACTCCGTCGTGTAATTTAAAATTGTTGTTATTATTAAAGAGCCGAAAACACCTGCAGTCACCGCGTTGAATTAAATTTTACAAAAGGTACCAATCGTCCGCATAGGTTCCGTTATACGAGATTGAAAAAAAAAACTGCAGTTTTCCACGCCAACTAAAACCGGGTGGAAAGGATGACTCTAAGAGCAACATAGGTGACTCGAAAGTCGTAAATGCAATATTTTGCGAATGGTCGATATCAAACTATTTAATTCAAAGGAGCTTCTATAAAAGTTACCGAGTATATGTAAGTTCGTATTATGTACCTTTAAGGCTTGAAAGCATAGAAAATATTGAATAGTTTCTTCTTGTACAAGTTTCTGAATGGAGTCAATCATTATTTGTTTTTCTTCACCCGTGTCATTGTATACTATCAGAAAAAGTCCCGAGATTATAAGCTTTTATGCTTTTGAGAAAGGGGAAAAAGATTTCACTTTATAACTGATTACCGTAAATTGGTCATATTCAAAGGAATAGTGCTAGAGCGGAAGCTCACACATACAGCGTAAATATCAGAGGTTGTAAGGACCTTACAGGATGTAAATATCAAAATCCGTTGCAATTTTCTCGCTCGTCAACCATCACTAACAAAAACGCGCATCTTCATGCCTGAAACTTCAAACAACGCAATGACACGAAGTTTCTCAAACTTACGTTCCAAGATCCAGACGACGATAGAGATTTCATGGCTGCCTCTGAAGGACTGACTCCGATCCTAGGTGCGTTGGTGATCTTTTATAGGACTCAGCTTGGTGAGGGGAGGGTGTGACACAATGGGTGCCCACCCCTATCCTCCCTTCCACCCTTAAACCTCCCCCTCAACCTCCCTCATCCCCTTAGCTCCACCCACACGGTCTCTGCGGGGACTGAGGACACGAGGACGCGAGGAGACGAGGTCAGGCGCGTGCGAGGGCAAGATTCTGAGAACAAAGAACGGCGTCAAGACAAGCGACACCTGAGCGCTATAGAGGATTCCATAGAGCTCCACTAAAAGACGTGAGAAGTCACGAAAGAACAAAACAACCTCTGTGAGATCAGGTCAGTACATCGATGTGTACGAAAATCATGGTTTATTTTTTCATCATCGTCGTCGTAATTGAAATCATTATCATCATCGTCATCATAAATATAATTATTAGTGTCGTAATCGTCCTCAAGGTAAAATACATTTCTGGTACTTTTGGCCATTTAATTTGTTTGTTCTTCGAATGCTTGATTTGTCGTTCTGTGATTGGTCTTCTGTGAGGTTTACCTTAACCTTACAGAAGATCTTTGATACTCGGTCGACAGAAGTTCCGTTTAGATGATCGACATACTTTCTTCACTCTTCTTTATTCTTTCATTTCAATTCAAAACGGTTATTTTGTGGTAGGTGTATTAAGATTGTGGCTTGTCATATAATACCATCGTATGTAGCTAATTTCTTTAGTAAAAAATCTTTAATAATGTATTTTAAATTTATTTTGCATTTTAATGCGCGAGGATGGTGTACTTTCCATGTAATTTTGTATGTTTCATCGCCCTTTTATTACTTTGAAGCCTAGTAATGAATGTTTATGGAAGAACTAAGTGATTGAATTCTGACTGGACGCGATATAAATTGAACAATTACTTACAACGGCACACACTAAGAATTGTTAAATGAATGAAAAACAATGCTGAATAGTTGAAAATCGTTTTCGATTGTCTGAAGGAAACAGTGCTTTAAATTGGTATTTTAATAAAGTGTATAAAAGCATTCCAATTGTTTAAGATTTATTCTTTCTTGTTCATCCGTAATAGTCATTGCAGGTTTTTAATTTCTCATTTATGAATACAATATTTCAACAATATGTATAATAATACAAAACCTATTAACTTACAATTATAATAAAAAATTCCAGATTTATAAAGCTATATGGAAATTGTGATGACCTTATAAAAATCATTTTGTGACAGAATCATTGTTTAAACGTTTTAATGAGAGTATAATTAATTTTCTATAAAAATACTAAAAATATTTTTTATGATAACGTTATAATTTGAACAATATTGTAATACATTATAGTTGTTATTCAATATATGGACGATAAAATTAAACTTTTTTAATGTTGGCTTTTGGTTTTTGGCAGATAATTTGTTTATTTTAAACGTCCTCGAATCAAAACATAATGATAATTTTTAATTCATTTTCTTAATGAATAAATTGAAAGTTATGTACATATTGGATCCTTACGAATCAAACAAGTTGCTGTGTGCGCTATTCAATCCAACCCACCATCTTAGATAAATGTCTTTTACAGCTGTGGTAATATTTGTATTCAGTACAATTGGCAAGATAAAACATTTGCACTTTGTGACATTTAATATTCAGTAGTCATTTTTGTTTATTAAATTACAGTACAGGTGTCCGAGGATCAGTGATTCATTACTTGCTCACTAGTTGAACAGTCGCGTGCACAACGCTTCCGACGCCGCATTTTTAAACGGTTGGCGACCGTGGAGGCAAGTCAGTGTCGCGTCTTAGTGGGAACCATTAGCAAGGCCCTCGTGCACTGGAACACGGCTCGCGGAGTGTAAAGCAGCCAGGAGCGACCGTCATCCCAGCAGGGGTGCGGACGGCGTTGCGACCCGCGCGACGAACTAGGTTCGATCGTAAATCGCGGAGAACTCCCTTTTCGTCAAACCGTACGTGCACAAACTTCTAGAAGCCAACGGGACCTGCTGAACGGGCCGGTTGCTACCTCTGCCGCCAATGGCGGCTTGTTTCCTCCCGGCCTGGTCATGGACAGACGTCTTATAACTTTACCGAGAACAACCGCATGTGTTCGTTTGACGTCTCTATAGCCTTTTGTAACTTATAATTACGGGCGACCGGTTGTTCTATTTTATGGGTTCCAATTGGACAATTGGAGCACGTGTGTTGGACTCTGTATTTAAGGCATACCGATTGAGATAGTATACATAAACATGTTCTTTTGAAGCGGGAAGCTTGGCTGAAGACTGGAAGAACGAGGTAATCTACATTTGCAACATCTGATCGGACACTCGGTAAGTGTGCTTCTGTCAATAGGCTTTTTCTTTTACTAGAAATAATTCTGGGTTAGAGGAATACAATTACAATTCCGGAAAGGTTTTATTCTATTTAGTTGAACAAATAATGTACGCTCTGGAATTTAAAGAACAAAGGCCATACACAGTTGGTGAAACCTAGTAATGAAATGCATTTCTTTAGTGAAACAGTTGAATTATATTAATTTTATACGCATATTCTGGAATGTGGATTAAAAAAACAAATTAATTGACGACCAAATATTGAATCATGTTGTTCAAGGACTTCAAGGGTGAAAGTACTCATAATATTCATCAAGTATCTCATAATATTTTCCCTGTTTTAAGAAGTCATCAATTATTTAATAATGAAAAGCAATAGATCAATGACTTTCTTATTCAACTCAAAGAGAAATATACTTCTTCTAATGAAGTTATGTCTCAAAATTTAACATTTTCTGAAGAGAGAATTGTATTTTTTCATGATTTTAATCAGTTTCTTATTGTTTGATTCGAGATAGAATTAATGTGTTCAAAAGGTTTAAGTTTGATTAAGATTTCGAACTTAATGGCGTGAGAAAATTTTGATCTCTTGTAATTATATTAATACCGAAAGGAAATATACATTACAAACTAACGTGTGATTTTCAGTACATTTTCTTGTCTGTATGTTTTACGTGTTGTCTGTATATTACTGGTTTTACTGGTTTCGCGTTTGATCTTACTGGTAAACTTTCCAACAAAGATACTTTTTCAGCACATTATATATTTCGTACAATGTGGCTTTTTATGCACTTAGTTTCGTGGAACTCTTTTTCAGGGAACTTGCCTATGATTAGTTCAATGTCGTATTTCAAACATTTTCTTGGCTGATTTTAATTTTTCTATCGCCGTATTGCGTCTAATGTTTTATTACGCACATAATTGGGACGCTTTTACATTATTTTTTTTTAGTATTTAATTGTGGAATTTTTACGAGTCATTTGAAAACATCTTTTAAATTTTTGTTTTGATATCTTATATTTGTCATTTCCCTTTTAAATGTAATATGCTCGTATAATTACTATACCAATTGTATTTGGTGTCTTTGTACGACATGAGGTTACAAGGGGGGGGGTTAGTGGACTATGATGAGAATGTTCTCCCTCATTTGCGGAAAGTTATCATGGGAGGGAGCATTATGAAGGAATCGTGATGCAAGAATTATAATGATAATTAGAAGAACGATAATGAATAGAAAGTATAATAAGTTGTAAAAAACACTAAAATAAACACGTGATGATATGCGGTCTATATATTGTATATGAAAGTGAATTTATGTATGTATGAATGTACAATGTGTGTATTTATGTATGTATGCATGAATGTATGTAAGTATGTATGTATGTATGTATGTATGTATGTATGTATGTATGTATGTATGTATGTATGTATGTATGTGATATGTGTATGTTCCACAAAATTTTTTAACCACTGTACTATGTCCTCCTATATTTTACGTAAGGTGTTTGCGCAGCTTAGGAACAAGCGCACAATATAACCCCAAATACTCGTATGCCTTTATCCAAATTCGGTTTAGTATAAGCTGCAATGCATCGAACGGCATTGTTGTTGATGGATAACCCGGTATGTGGCCGGGCGGGGCGTCTGAAGTGGCCGCCGTAGGTAGAGCAGGCGGAGCTGGGTAGAGCGGACGTGGGTGGAGTGTGCGGATAAAGTGCGTTTACGAAGGTATCGTGACGGGTAGGGGGGGGGGGCAAGAAAACAGAAAAGAGCGAGCGTGGCGGGCGAGGCTGTTCAGTATTTGATTGTGATAAATATCCACGCGACACCAGGTAATCAGCCAGTTTTCCAGAAAGGTTGACCTTGGCCAGAATTTCAACCGAAAGGAGGCTCCAAAGAAGGTGTGCGGGGGAGGGGGACGTGTGCGCCGCATGTTAGCGCAAAATGTTTTCAAGTATTTTATTTTATTAAAATACTAAATATATTTGAAGTAAATTGGTGAGAGTTTACATGGAAATTACATTGTTTCATGAAAGCATTTCTGAATATGGCTTCAAAAACCATTTTAAATATATGGTTAACTAATTATAGTCGACAATATGTCGTCAAGGACACTGAAGAGAATTGTGGCGCATGGAATCCATGTCCTACCATCTACAATGACGTCCGAATTCAGGAAAATTAGAGCGGGCAAATCTCATCCGGCTTCCGCAAAATGAATCATCAAACCTTCATGGAAGAGTACAATGTGACAACCATCAAAGTGAAGTAATATTCCCATATACGAGGTATTTATAAAGCTGTGGTGTAGAGGACAGCCCGTGCGACCGCTTGAGGTCAAACGGAATATTCCAAGGAAACTCCGAGCGCGAGCGTTAAAACGCCTCTATTGTATGGAAGCGCCCGAGGAACACGAGCCTTGTGTATCAAAGAGGTCCATTAGATGGAGACGCGTGGGCGTCGGCGAAAGACTATACGCACGTGGATGGACAAGGCGTCGACGCCAGGTGAGGTCGCCGCCGCAGGCGCCACGGCGTCGCGACGCCTCGGTAACGCGACCCTGCATTGTGTACCTGCGAAGCTTGGGCGGGGAAGGCAGCGGGGCAGAGCTGGAGCCATCGCGTTTGAAAGCGGCGATTTTACTGGTGGTGATGGAGTGTCGGGGGATGGTTGCGACGGAGTCGGCGACGGGAGGGGAATGGCCGGAGACTACAGGGGTGAGGGGGGTACAAGAAGAAAGCAGTGGAGGCGGGGACGGCGGTCGGGTCGTGGCGGTGAAGCTGGGCTGATGGCGGGGGCGAAAGTGAGGGAGTTGGGGGGTCGGGAGCGAGAGGAGGCGAGTGGTAGTCGTGGCAGCAGCGGGGTTGTAGACGGTGACAGAAGAGGTGAGGACGGTGGGAGCAGCGCCAAGGGGGACACAGGTGCGTGGGCAACGAGGAGAGCAGGACGTCGGGAGGTGGTGGTCGCAACAGCGTTAGTGACGAGGGAGATGTGGGAGTGGTGGTGAGAGTGGAGGCGAAGGCCCTGACATGGCATGACGGCGGCCGAAAGAAACGGAGGGTCTGAAGCTGGGGAGGCAGTATCGGCGGGGGCGGCGACAGGGGTGGGTGGCAGGTGCGGAGGCGAGGGATCGGCGGCGCCCGCGGGGGCGTCGTGGCGCCGGTGCGTCGGACGCCGAGGCGTCTCGACGCCATCGATGCCGTCTCTCTCGCTCTCTTCAATCGCGAAACCTGGCGACAATAGCTGCTCAGCTAGATCGGATTCAGACGCTTTCAGGAGGGGATTTCCAGTGGCCGGGTGCTGTGACCGGTAGTTTTCCGTGGTCCCTCAGGTCAACACCAGGCGAATGACGGAGAAGTAGCCCAACAAATCCGCCACGGACTGCGCGAGAACTTTCCTTCCTCTTTTTCGTCCAATCCTCACCCCTTACACACGCACTTGCATGCACTACACAACCACACATGCCGAGAAACTAATCGAGAGCTTAGAGCGTGTCCCACCTCAGCGGTGCGTGCTGGTGGGAGATACTGGTTGGGAAAATCACTCAAGCCATTGCTTAGGTCTACGCTGGATCTCGCCATCAAGTGGAGTAAAATTACCGCTACAACTCACGATTAAAGAATTAATTACACTTTCGAGATACCTTAGCAGTTGTTGCATCCGAGATCACAAATCAATCAATCAAGCGCAGTCTTGGCTCGAAACTTCACAGCTACATTGGGACATTCTGAATCTTCCGTTAGCGGCTGTCAACGAAGGAACTGACGTGCACACGTGCGGTCCCCTGGAAAGGCAGTTGGTCAAACTTCATTAAAACCTGGAAAAATATTAAATAAACAATAAAGAGTGTGATGTTTTCCCCTTTGCGGTAAACCATTATCAGAACCAGATTATACGGGAAAATTCTACGATGTTGAAACACCTCTGCATTTATTCAAATGTCAATGTTTCAGAAATCCTTATCTCTCTGTTTATTTGCTATAAGTGTGTCTGATCACTTTAATATCAATAAATGCATTACTAAGTAATACAATTCAGATGAGAACTAAATTTTAGATATGCCTTGAATCTATTTATTGCTAGAGACACATGTGGAAGTATTAAACAGATTAAAAGGAAGTTATTTGAAATTGTTTTCTTGTCCTTAAGAAATGAAAATTAGATCGTAAACGAATTGCATCGACATTTTTGACGTGGACAAAAATAAAGAGAACCTTAGTAGGCACAGAAAACGGCAGACATTTGAGTTATAAATAATATTTTTATAACATTATATGACGTAACCGGTCGTTGCACGTATTATTTTTACACATTCATCTATTAGACAAAGGAATGAATCCCATCTCAGTAGGAAATAGAAGTAATTTTATATCATACCTGACATCTAACAAACAATACGCCTTTCTCCTTCCTGAACTGATTCTCCGACAAATCCTATTTCATTTGCCCTCTCTATTTTACCCATGCGTTTTTGCATGTTTTGTTAAGCATTAGTCTGAAGATTATGAATTCAACTATAAGAGAATAGGGTGATAAAATCGAGATACAGTCAACATTGATTATACCACTAGGGATTAAAATTACTGTGAAGCACTGGGGGCTAAAATATTTATCTCACTATATCAAGGTTTTATAATATTCGATAACATAAAAAAATAATTCAGTAGTTCAAGAAACGCTGAGTTTATTTGAGATAACTTATAAAATATTCAGTCACCATGATTTCAAATTTTCTGTATATTTTTTGCTTTCTTCACTTTAATTCTTCATCGTCCACATATTCCAAATTATTAAAAGAGTCTCTTGCACTCCAGAGTGTTTCTTGCCCTGAAGTACTTTGCTCACTATCTATTTGTATCTTATTTTCTTTGTTCACACTTCTTTTATTACATTCTGAAAGACACTTTTCATCGAAATCGCAATATAGCTAGATCCGATTCACTAGTTTTCAGCATGTGGTCCAAGCTCGTGAAGTCTGCAGGCGGACAGAAGTGTCA